CTTTCTTTCTTTCTTTCTTTCTTTCTTTCTTTCTTTCTTTCTTTCTTTCTTTCTTTCTTTCTTTCTTTCTTAAAAAAAGTATGACAAGTTTCTGGATTGAACTCTTAATTTACTTTTCATAATCTACTGCCTTTATTCTCACATACTCACATATTTTCAAAATACCCCACCAAACCAATATCCAAAGTTCATCAGGTCCAGCCCTATTGTTAGGGTGAGGTTGCACCACAAACTGGTATACCATGAAAGAGAAAAATATGTTCATTATCAAGAGTATTGATGTGTTTTTACTGTCATGTGGGATTTTCTGTCATGTGGGAACTATACACTAGACTTGGCTGGGAAGAGGAGGAGGAGGTGTTTGCTTGTTGACAAAGTTGATGCACATGAACATACAGGCAGATTCTATTGTAAATAGGAAGACTGTTGTCTAAATATTCTTTATTTAGGATAAAGCTATCCTAAATGCTTTATTGACTGACTTGCTTTCTCTTAATTACTTGTATTTAGGTAAAAGCTCGTTTAATTAAAATGGGCCATCTTAATTCTATGAATATTTTTCTTCGCCAAGAAATTGACCGGATGCAGAAAGTTATCAAAATAGTCCGAAACAGCCTCCTTGACCTTAAACTAGCCATAGAAGGAACTATTATTATGAGTGAGGTAACCAAGTACAGTATTATATGTAATTATTCATTTTGAAACAAACACATTTTCTATCCAAATACACTAAGACATGTTTTCTTTTTCACTTCTCTAGAACCTAAGAGATGCTCTTGATAACATGTACGATGCTCGAATCCCTCAGCTTTGGAAGCGTGTATCATGGGATTCTTCCACCCTGGGATTCTGGTTTACTGAACTTTTAGAGAGAAATGCCCAGTTCCGCACTTGGATCTTTGAAGGAAGGCCACATGTGTTTTGGATGACTGGATTTTTTAATCCTCAAGGTAAATATCATTTACTATAGATACAATGAACAATGTGTTCTGTTGTAAGAGGACAGTTGTGTTAGTTAGAGCTTTCCATTTAATTTGATTTATTCTACCACATTCATGTAGAAGTAGGGCCTGGAATCCAATATATATAAAGGACTTTTTTTTTCAGTTGCATGTTGATAAATTATAAATTATTATTCAGGATTTCTGTTAGATTCATGTGAAAGTCATATTTCTCTTTATCTGATTATTTGAACAACCCAGTGAGTATAGCATCATTTAAGACATACAAATTAAATATATGCATTTCTTTCTAAAACTGCTAAAATGTACAAAATTGTTTCATATAGGTGAAAGTCAACATGCATACATTGTTACCAAGGATTTTCTCCATTTTGATATATAGTTTATTAGTAAAAAACATTTTATTACAGCTTTAAATTACGAAATGCCAATTTGTTGTATCAAATTAACAAAATTCTGTATTTCATAAACTGATTAAAAAATACAATGGTTCTTTTGAGGATTGCATTTCAAAACTTATCCTGGTCATGGTTAGAGGATTATCAACCCCTTGTTGGCACCTTTTTTTATTCACAAAAGACAGACATTTTTGAAAGAGCAAGGGGAAGATAAGTAATTGTAAGAGAATATGAGCCACAAGACTGGAACAGATAATTAATTGTTTGCGATCATCAGTGGTTTAAGGACTCATGTGATGAATTGATGCACTGTACAGTTCTTCTAAAAGTTTATTGTTGTATTTCCTTTTTTATCCTGGTTCAGCTTTCAATTTTAAAACATTATGCTTCTCCAGATATAAAATACAATCCAAGACCTTAGTCCACATCCAGACCAGCAGCCTACATATAGTTCATGTTATAATAAGGCGATCAGTGGCCTTATTAATTATAACCTCTAATTCCTTAACTCCTTAGCCTCTAGGTGTTGCTATTATTAGTTCACAAATATATAGCAATTTTTACAGTATATAGTTCTATTTTATTTTTCTTGTTTCTTTTTATTTATCCATATTTTGTGTTAGGCAATCTTGGCTCAGAATTTTAGTGGTTCTTCTTCTTTTTTTTACATGAATATTACAGCCCCAAAGCACTACAGTATAAAAATGTATACAAGAAAAAAGTTGTATTAAACTTGTCTTATTTTTTGACCTATTTTACAGGCTTTCTAACAGCTATGAGGCAAGAAGTTACAAGAGCACATAAAGGCTGGGCTTTGGATACAGTGACTATACATAATGAAGTGCTGAAACAAATCAAAGAAGAAATCACTGCAGCCCCTCCTGTAAGTACACCACTGATACATCCTTTGTTCACATTAATTTCAAAACTACTTCTATATTCTGGTAAATCTAACCTGATTTAAAAAAAAAAAAGGTTGGTTTGTACTGTATTTTGCTTTAGATTTTTCAACAAAGAAAGAAAGAACGTATAAGTGCTTTCACTCATGTAGCCCTGACATGCTCCTTTCCCACCTTCCACCATCAGAGCAGCAAAGATGGAGGAGGGAGATAGAGGAGCATTACATCAGTGTAACAGAAACTTTTGCAGGCTGATTTGCTTCTATGATCTAAAGGGGAACTGTGCAAGGCATTTTTCTTATTGCAATCTGTTTTTGCATTTTCCTGATTCCATAATATTACTTTTGGTCAAAGTGCTCTCAGATATAGATACAGGTATAGATGTAGGTGTAAATATATTCACATTAATGTATCCCCACTAAGAAAAATGTGTATTAGGGGATTAGAGAATATACAGTTGGAAAACATGCCTAGCTAGAAAGATGGATAGCGCATAAAATAGGAAATTCCATTCATTCTCACACAAACACATAAAAGGGCAGGAAAAAAGAAAAGCCAAAAAAGTATTTTGATTCTCTTCAGTAAACTCAACTATGTGAGCAACGTCATTCAGAAATGTTACAGATTGCTTTACCTTTTCAAGTGTTGCTAATTATACTATAGCTTATACTGGACAGGTTAAATCAGTCAAGTTATGTTGTAATATTAAAAGCAGATACTTTTCTAAGCATAATAAATATCCATTCTTTTCACACAGGAAGGGGTATATATTTATGGATTATACTTGGATGGAGCCGGATGGGATAGACGTAATAATAAGCTCACTGAATCTACAGCAAAGATTCTTTTCACTTTACTTCCTGTTGTACATATATTTGCAATAAACACAACAGGCCCAAGAGATCCTAAGCTTTATGTTTGTCCCATTTATAAGAAGCCAAGAAGAACAGATTTGACTTATATCACTGCCATCTACCTAAGAACAACTGTATCTCCTGATCATTGGATACTGAGAGGAGTAGCTCTTCTGTGTGATATTAAATAAATTCTAGTCCTTGGACTACAACAAAAACACATATGAAAAACACTAGGGCATACAAATTAATTTTTCCTCATAATTAGATATTCTATTTCCTCTTTCTAGAAATTCTGTTTTGTATAGTTATGCTTTGTTTCCTAGCCATATTAAATCTTATTGTCAAAATGTAAAATCAGTCTTAGTTTTGGTCTTTTTCCCCTTTTCATGATAATTGTACTTTTTAGCTAAACATATTATAGCATTTAAATTCTATGGGACAAGTCATTGGAAAGTCTGTTGGAACTAAGCTTCTAAAAATGTAAGTATTTTCTTGAAGCCCAAGTTTTAACTGGTTTGTGAATCAGGCTGCCTGTCAGAAACTAGAGAACGGCATATACCAGTTCTGAAGGTATAGTGAGGAACAAATTTGGGGGATGTGTATTTTTGAAAAAGACCCTGCAAACTACAGCTCAATTACAACATCCTTGCTTTTAAGCAGATTACTTGAAACCTAAGTAATTAAGTCAATGGAAAAGAAACATTTCTTTATATGAGCTGTAAACTACACCCATTATAAGCATAATGACAAAGGCTGCTATTGGAACAAATTTTACTACAGAGAATATTTTAATTTTTAGACTAACATGTCCCTTTATAGGGAGAAAAACAGTACCTCCAGAATTACTACAGAGGGCAAAATGATCAGTAGAAGGTATTGATATTGGACAATGACATTGAACTTTCTCAGATACTGAGTAGCCAACTCATAATTGCAGACAACCACTCAATCTGAAACAAATTCTTACAAGCAAGCAAGAAGAAACAAAACAACCATTATGCTAACCCTAAAACAAACCCAGATGTCTATTTTGCTCCCACATCATCAAAGGCCCTAACAAGTACACACACATCATTAGAGAGGCCTTCACATATTTTCTTCTACAGGTAGTCCTTGCTTAACAACCACAATTGGGACTGGAATTTAGGTTGCTAAGCGATGCAGCCATTAAGCAAATCATCATGTGACCGGACCTGATTTTATGACCTTTTTGCAGTGTTCATTAAGCGAATCATGTGGTTGTTAAGTGAATTATGTGGTTCCCCATTGATTTTGCTTGCCGGAAGCCAGCTGGGAAGATCACAAATGGCAATCATGTGACCCTGGGACACTGCAACCATCAGAAGTGTGACCTGGTTGCCAAGCGCCTGGATCATGATCATGTGACTGCAGGGGCACTGCAACAGTCATAACTTCATAGGCTGGTCATAAGTCACTTTTTTAGTGCTGTTGTAACTTCAAACAGTTGCTAAATGAATGGTCGTTAAGTGAGGAGTACCTGTAATGTGATATATGCCATCATCTGCTGTCAATGCCCCTCTGGATTCTACATAGAACAAGTAGGACAAGCTTTGTGCAAAATAATTAATGGATATAAGTTTGACATCAAGGCATAAGAACAAAGTAATATCAGAGCATTTCAACCTCCCACGACACTCTATGGCAGTCTTCAAAGTGACTGTTTTGGAAAAACAAGAGGTTAACAGTACTATTGAGTGAGAGATTGCTGAATTCACATACATCAAAAGGTTTCCAGCAACCTCAGAAGGTCCCAACAGATACAATGGGTTTTCTAACACATTACAATTGTTAATTGATAAAATAACATTGATAATTCATAAATTAAATGAAATCAATAAAGTAAATTGATAAATCTGTCTCAGGTTTATCCTGCATCTGCATAACCTGTTTTCCCCTCCCTTTCCTCCTGCCCTAACTCATTTCAGTTTAAATCCTACAACAGTCTAGCCACTCTATGCATCTGATGAAGTAAGCTACAGCTCATGAAAGCTGATGCTTTTAAGTAAAATTTGTTAGCCAGAAAAGGTGCTACCAGACTCCTAATTTTTGCTACAATAGACTAACACGACTCTCCTCCTACAATGCACACCAAATTAATCAACCATGTAACAATTTTGTCTGATACAAGAAGAACTTGATGAACTGCTTTGCACATACTTCATGATTTGCTTAAACACAGTTTATTTATTAAATTACAATTGGAGATGTATAACACACTAAACCATGAACCATGGTTAATTTATAAAACACATTGGCTAGGTTTTCACAGTACACTGGGTCAGGTCCAAACAAATCACACGATGGTGAGGCATAATGTATGAACCCATACATAAATATTAATACCTTTCATGCTGTGGTCTTTCCTGGTGTTTTCTAATATGGTGTTACCAGATCCAGGAATCAAAGTTAACATAAGGAATGTAGGCTACTTTCTATCTCATTAGCTTTTTCTTCTAAGAATCTTTTTTTATTTCACTGACTTGTGACCAAATGCTTTTTCTTGGAGATTTTCTGTACTTGATCCACTAATAGAATGCTCCAAATTAAGCTGTGCAGAGAGATGACTCAGCTCTGACATTCAATATCTGGCAATCCCAATTAATAAATCAGTAATTTTATACCCATTCCTGTTTAAATCTCAGAAAGTTACTTTAGTACCTGTTCCACCAATTATTTCTAGATACGAAAATATTGAGCCTAAATATAATGATTTGCTTTAAAGCGCTAAATAAGATACGTTAATTTTATTTGATCAAAATTTATGTCAGACATATGGAGCATGATGACCAAGATACAGAAGAAATGATTTATTGCCTTAAACATAATAATTTATTTAACCCATTTCCAGTTTCTTACCAAACTACTTGGCATGGTACAATGCTTTTGCAATACCTGCCTTAAACCATCTTTCTATCAATTAATCAGAGACACAGCGTGGGTGGTTTATTGCTATACTAAATCAAAAGTATTGACATATCACAGATTTGCAAGTGGGGACTTATTTCCCTTGCTGATTATTCATTAAAAGACATTTCTCATTGCAGGCTAAAGGATTCTATTAGGAAAGAAAAATTTGAGCCAGTGAAGCTGATTCGCTCATTCTTTCTCCAACTATTCTATGAGACTGTAGTTCTTCCCGGAAATTAAAATAATTCAAAAAGGGAATTGAATTCAGACAGCCAATGATGCATTCAGCAATTCTTGAAGATACCCCCCTCTGGTATCCTCTACTTATCTGGAATCCAGTTTACCTAATTCTGAACTAGCATGGCTAAAGGTCATATCAGCTGGAGATTATGGGAACTGGAAGTTCAACACACATGGAGGATCCTGATGAAAAAATGGTGGGTTGAAGCTGCGTTCTGCCTCCCACCCTTGGAAATCTCATTTGGGATGTATGTCTTGCCCTTCCCTGTTTTATAAAAAAATCAGAATTTAGGAGCTTCCTCTAAAGCACAGGGCAGAATGAGGAAGTGAGTCAGTACTGAGTTTTTTATTGAGTGACAAACGCTGATCCACAAAACAAACTAATTATACTGTACCCACAAACAGGATGCTTGAAAATGGGTGATGGGGGCAGGAAAAGTTTGGGGAAATAGAATTAGTTAAAGAGAAATTTGGAATTCACCTTTTTAGTCACATATGACATAGCATTGGGGAAGATGGAGGAGGATGGAGATTGGGTTTTAAATGTATACATTTGATGTAGGCCCTTTGTTACTGTAGAATGCTGCATTGTAACAGTAATCAGGTAGTCTTCATCCAATTAGAAAGGATAAATATTCCTATTCATTTTCCCCAGTACAGATTTCAATACTCCAAATGATTTGTTTCAACAGCTTGAACTAATGTGTCCCATTATGGCTCATAAGTCTTTGTTCGCTAGCAAGGTGTTGCAGTTTTTAGTGATTGGAGGTGGGACTCTATTTATGCTATTTATGCAATTCTCACCGTAAGAAAGAAACTGAAACACATCTGTC